AGAGAAAATAAAGTCAGTAAAAGAGGGTCTGGTCCTCTCTGTGGAGTCCTGATACTCAGACGGATCCAAACCTGGACTTTATTTTACTGCTTTAGTCTTTAAACTCAGAACCTTCTTCAGTCCGGCTCTGAGGGCTGAAAACCTCGTCATGTTTTTAAAGATTTAAATAATAAAGATTTTATTTCAAACTGAATCATCATCGAGTAAATCTGCTCCTCTACAGGAGCCGAGCGGACCCTGACCCTCTTCAACATCGACAGAGACTCGGTGGACCGGTTCCTGGACCTCCATCATGACGACCGTGTTTTATCCGCCGTCATCTCCTCGGACTGCAGACTGCTCGCCTCCGGAGCCGCCGACCAGCTGATTCGAGTACGCAGTACCCGCCGTAAACACAGGGGGCGTGGACCATCGTCTGAACCTTCTGTCCTGGTCTCAGGGGTCCGGGGGGGGGGGTCCATTTCTCTGCTGGTTCTGGTTTTTGATGGACTCTGTTTTTCCGCAGGTCTGGTCCGTGACCACCGGCGCCCTGTTGGACGCCTCGTGGTTTCAGCCTCGGCGTCTGCGGCCGCCGTCAACCTGTGGAGTCTGAAATACGACGAACGCCACAGACCCCCCGCCCACATCCCTGCGGGCTGCGCCCACGTCGCCCTCGCCAGAGACACGGATCGAGTTTTCTACGTCAGACAGCAGAGTCAGACGGAGGTCATCAGCTGGAACAACCTCACAGGTCAGAGCGCCCGCACCATTTCACCTTTAAACACCATTTCCTCTGACTCCACCCCTGCGCCTCTCTAAGCTCTGACTCCGCCCCCTGTGTTTCTCTAAGCCCTGACTCCGCCCCCTGTGCCTCTCTAAACTCCGACTCCGCCCCCTGTGCCTCTCTAAGCTCTGACTCCGCCCCCTGTGCCTCTCTAAGCTCTGACTCCGCCCCATGTGCCTCTCTAAGCTCTGACTCCGCCCCCCGTGCCTCTCTAAGCTCTGACTCCGCCCCTATGCCTCTCTAAGCCCTGACTCCGCCCCCTGTGCCTCTCTAAGCTCTGACTCCGCCCCCTGTGTTTCTCTTAACTCCGACTCCGCCCCCTGCGCTTCTCTAAGCCCTGACTCCGCCCCCTGCGCCTCTCTAAGCTCTGACTCCGCCCCCTGTGTTTCTCTAAGCTCTGACTCCGCCTCCTGTGCCTCTCTAAGCTCGGACTCCGCCCCCTGTGCCTCTCTAAGCTCGGACTCCGCCCCCTGTGTTTCTGTCAGCTCTGACTCCGCCCCCTGCGCCCCTCTGCAGGTTCTCTGTCGGAGCGGTACGCCGTCTCCGCCCAGGTCTGCTGTCTGGCGGTGGCTCAGCACAAACGGCTGCTGTTCTGCGGTCTGGTCACCGGCACCGTCCTCATCTACCCGTTAGCCCTCCCCCAGGAGACGCTCTGCATCCCGCCCCCGCCGAGCCTCAGCCGGGTGCTCTGCCTCGCCGTCGACGCCAAAGAGAAGCACATGGCGGTGGCCTACGAGGACTCGGTGTGTCTGTTTGAGATCACCACCAGAGACAGCTTCCCCACGGTGGAGGGTCCTCTGCGGGGGTTCCCCCTGTCCCTCCTCCACGCCCCCTGTCCGCCATGGCGCTCCTGTCTGACATCAGGCTGCTGTACGGGACGGGCTGCGGCGAAGTGAAGCTGCACAACTTAAGCGACGGCGGCTGCTCCGACCTGGAGGCTCATGGCAGCAGAGTGACGAGCGTGACCGCCAGTAACTGGGGGAGCCACGCCCTGGTGGGCTCGGAAGACGCCGTCCAGAGGCTGTGGACCCTGGACCCCCTGGTCCTGGATCACACCATGGAGTACAAGGTCAGAGCGGCGTCTGAAATTCACCATGAGAGGCGGTTCAGTGTGTTTCCATGGAGACCACAGATCTTAGATTTCAGTGTTTTTATTTTTGTTGTTTTTATTTCCAAAATAAAAAAAATAAATATCAAATTAAAAAAATAAAAACAATTAAAAAAATAAAAATCAAATAAAAATAATCAAAAAAAACAAAAATCAAATAAAAAAATATTAAAAAGAAAATCAAATTAGTTAGAAAAGTTAAAAGTAAAAATCAAATTAAAAAGATAAAATTCAAGTTAAAATAAATTAAAATCAAATAAATAATTAAGATCAAAAAAGAAGAATAAAAATCAAATAAAAATAATAATGAAAATCTAAGAATAACAATAAAAATCTAAATCAAATTAAAAAAATCAAAATGTAATTAAAAAATAAAATTCAAGTTAAAATAAATTAAAATCAAACAAAAAATTAAGATCAAATGATTAAAAATAAAAATCAAATAAAAATAATAATGAAAATCTAAGAATAACAATAAAAATCTAAATCAAATTAAAAAAATCAAAATGTAATTAAAAAATAAAATTCAAGTTAAAATAAATTAAAATCAAACAAAATATTAAGATCAAATGATTAAAAATAAAAATCAAATAAAAAATAAAAATCAAATAAAAAATAAAAAAAAATAA